AAAGAAAGAAAGAAAGAGAGAAAGAAAGAAAGAAAGAAAGAAAGAAAGAAAGAAAGAAAGAAAGAAAGAAAGAAAGAAAGAAAAGAAAGAAAAGATGAACAAAACCAGCCAGCGCCTCTTGCCTTTTCCATGCAAGGTCTGAAACAGTGTTCACGCGATGCAACAGGTCTGTCTCCATAGCAGCACGACCACGACAAACTCACCCAGGACATGGACTTAGATAGGTCCCCTGTAATTTCTTGCTCTTAATTTTCAGTTGGAGCTTGTAACATGTGATTAGTTCATGACCAGCTCAGGGCTGAAGGAGGTCTTAAAAATCATTTCAGGCTGCCATTCCAAAGAGGAAAAATACAAGGGCCCAGAACTCCAGAGCCTGTCCGGACTTGAGTCAGGAAGCTGGGGCTTCTCCCAGGCCCCTGCCATCCTGCTGTCTGTGACAGGGCCTCTGAAGACCCGCCCTCAGCCTGGATCTTACCCGGAATTAAGAACTGTAGGCACCATACTAAATTATGTCGTCCCAAATCCTTATTCGGCTTTATCAAATACATTGTGAATGGAAGATCTTTTTTTTTTACTAATTTAAAAAATGATGCCGTCTCCCTGAGGATAAATCTTGTGTATCAGGAGTGAAGCATCCCAGTCCTGTTTTCAGAGAAGAGACAGGATTTGAAGCAGTAAAGAGGTATTTAGCTTAAGCGGCTGCAGGATGGAGGCAGACTGATTATCATAGGATTTGTGACATCAGTGTAAGACCAGATGAATTTGGTTAAGCTGTCACTGAGCAACATAAAGTGGATTTGGGTCCCTTCAGCCTAGGAAGAGTGTCTTCCTCTCTCCTGGGCTAGGGCTTCCTGTGACAGTCTGGCTCTCTGCTGCTGAGAGAGCCCTCCTCAGGCGCAGAACCAGGACTGGGGAAACAGATTCCCTTCTGAGCAACTTCCCTGCGGCAGTTTCCCTTCTCCGTGAATCCCTAGCAGTGCTGCCAGACCAGGAGGCTGAACTGAATCTCTGCCTTCCCCAGACACTCCCATGCTCACCTCCCAGGCTCCTGGAACATAGCCTCCAACCAGGGGAGTTAGCCCCGGATGGTGTGCATCTGCCTGTGTTTCCCTTTAAGTTTAAAGAGTAGTTCATGTATTTCATGCCTCTGGAATCATGGGAGCTGCAGCTAGTCAGATCACAGTGGGCTGAGGAAGAGAGTTTAAGCAGAAAGCTGCACAGATGTTAAAAGCTGCTAGTGCCGATCAGCAGTGATTAAAAGGGCATTTGGAGAAGTGTTGGGACCGTAGCTGTCAGCTCAGGCCAGCGTGTTAAAGCCACATCTCCATCCTTACCAGACCCTCGCTGTCTCTAAATCAAAAGGCTGCAGCCTACCCCATGAAGGTAATTTACGGAGCCTCTGTCTAAGTGCAGTACCGCCATCTGAACACCTAGATGTTTTGGAAACTGCCCAGTCTTGCATAGAGTGGTGGAACTTAAAATTCTGTGCTGCAAGAACCCAAAAGAGCCAGCATAATTAGCTTCCATACGCAGTCAAAGGCCAATGGGAAAAAATGGACTGTGATTTTCCGTCAGATTACTTCGAGCAGACGTCGTCCTTTTTGCGTGCTGCTCTGGAAGGATGCAGTGAGGGCTTGCTCCTCAGGAGTAAAGCCCTGGCTCTGCGTATTTAGACCCAGGTTCCGGGTCGCGGGGAGTCCTGCTGGTGGACCCGTGGACCAGGTGAGCTTTGTTTTGGTGCTGTTCTTGCCTGTCCTGTCACCTCCAGTTCTTATCCTCAGACTCTCTGTCACACGCAAAGGCACTGAGACTTTCTCAGACAAGACCTGGAAGGTACAGGCAGGTGTAACGTGCTGGGAACTTGAGCTGTGATTTGAGTCCAACTCATAAATTTAGTTCAAAGGCAGTCAGTCCTATTTTTTGTGATGCTGATATAATTCTGTGCCCGGTGCTGCAGGAAATTATTAACAAACGTGTGCCACACTGGAGAGTGTTAGCGCCAAACAGGACATCGCCCCCGGCCCTTCACGGAAAGTGCTGAGTTCCAATACTACTTTGAGGAGCGGTAAACCTCGGGGGTGAAATTTCAAATTACACTTAAGGTTTTCCTTACCCCACCCCTGTGAGAACTTTGTAAGTACATTTACTCTGGATTCTCCCTGCACTGTATAATACATACAGAGTGCATATTTGTTTTCATGATTTTGATCTTGTTAAAACTGTACTCTGGTTGCTCTTAACTTTAAAAAGACTGTAGGAATAATGAAACACTGACATGACGGTGGAATTTTTTAGATAAATAGTCCATTTCCCCTCTTCCTTTCCCCTTTTGAAAAATTATGAAGTATTTGTAGCTTTTTGGGGTGAGGGGGAGGCTACATAATGAGCCTGCCCTAACTTATAGGATTGGGGCCCTACTCCAGTTGGGAAGATGAGTATTTATTTTCCCAT